GCATGAAAAATGTTTTCAACTCCAAGTAAGTCAATAATAAATTAGGTAATTCTTCCACTTCAACCTTTATTGGTATTGTAGAACTTTCAATTGGTTTGGAGATGGTTTTTTGTAAGACCGAAACATGTCTCTTATGATTATGTAACAACACCATTGAAATTTGTGGTGATGACTTCGGGCATTAATTCCTTCCTTTGAAATATTTCACTCCACTTTCTACCATAGATCAACTAACATAAGTTCTCAATCATTCCGATACCTCACTTAGATGAAATATACGCTATAACATTATGGAATATTACGGAATATCACTTTTCATGAAGGGGTCAATAGGTCAATTGACAGACTCGAACGAGGATTCGAATGTTGTTACCACCGTATCAGCCGAATCAATGATACGGGGCACCCGGTTTACAGGAGCCCCGAATTTTGTAATAAAAATTCGAAAAAAAGCTATCGACAATCTCACTCAAACTAATATGCCGTATAGTTGACGACAGGCATTGATGTTGTCGACTGTAGGCTGAACTTGAGCGGCCGCCCAAAAGTTGACAATACTGGATGTCTGAGATTTCCAGCAACGCACGTCAACAGAAATCAGTATTACAGAATCGTACAGTGGTGTGCATAAACAAGTCGTACAGCAGTTATAGGCTATTGTGAGTCAGGCTTGTCAATCTTGATTAATCTTCTTATCGACTGAGACAAGTAATGTCAAAATTCAAACTATGTTTGTCAGTAACGCGCAAATGTGTACGTGTACCACTTTTTGATAAAATCTGAAACATCATAGGCTGGTTTACACCATACAAACCTTGTACGACTTTTTTATGCACACAATTGTACTTCAAATGCAATGTGTACTATGCTTTTCGGTCATATATCTATCTCCCAAACTGAACAAAGTCTTTGTGATCTGGTTTATACGTATACGAGTTTGTTCACCCATAATAATGAAATTCACAACAATAATTTACAATATTCAGCAATAAAGGGTGAAATGGTTGGGATTCAACTAAGTTGATATTACACCATGCCATGAACAATAATAAAAGTTTTATACTTATATTGATATATAGATGATACATGTGAAGGTAATAAAAAAAAGTATTTGCTATTAGAACAAAATACAAAAATACAAAAATTCCAGACTACTAAAAACATTACAATAAACATGATGATTACGAATATGTTATATATAACAAAAAATTAGATGATGAGAAATAATGAAAAAAGTAAAGAAAATTATTGAGAGGGTCTTAGCTGATCTTGATAGAGAATTTTTTCAGTCCTTTGAGTCGCATATGAGCGATTCGTCTTCTATTTTATATATATTTGTCAAAACTTAGTCCACTGTCAAAATATAAACCTAAGTTATTCGCTTCTGTTACAATTCGAATTTCACTGTTGTTGAATATCACAGAGAAGTTGACAGATTTAAAAATAATGCGATTATTCCTGTATCCTGTAAAGCTTTCGACATATCAGGATATACCTCCAAGTTGGGATCATCAGTAAACTTTTTTATGGTATCGAGATCTGCTTGTATTCGTTCTGCAACATGCAGGTAGTTGTAGTGATAAAATCTGATACATATTTATGAGTCATCTGCGTATTGATGGAGCATACTAGATTGTAATTTTTTTTCACATCTGAGACATAGTATAGTGCCTTGCGGTACTCCACATGAGTTTTTTTCTAGAGAGTATGTCGACAATTCATTATTTTTGATTACCGACACACATTGATATCGGCCAGGAACCACAAATCCTAAGAACTGCAGTTTTGATGAAACAATGTCATGATCAATCGTGTCAAATGCTTTAGAAAAGTCCATACATGTTTCTTTTTGTTGATCTTTACCTTCTTTGAATTCGTCAGTTATGCTGACTAAGGCTGTGATGGGCTATGTTCTTTCTTAAAGCCTGACTGATGACTATTTTCAAGATTATTAGAGATGAGGTAGGATGTCACTAGGGTATGGATGTGTCTTTCAATGATCTTGGATGACACTGGTAGGATACTGATCGATCGTAATTCACTGAGAACAGTAGGATTATTAACTTTAGGTATAGGTTTGATTTTTGCACGCTTCCATATCATGGGGAATTTGCTCGTTCCTATTAAATAATTCATGATGTATTCAAACGAAAAAATTACGATATGGACAAAATTCAATAGCTATCAGACTTTTTAGTACTGTCTATCAGAAATTTTCTAAAAACTGAAATGGGGCGAGAAAGGCGAATGGACTATATGAAAATTAACAAAAGATTGACGACAATGACAAAACGAATCACTACCTCACCTCGTCTAATGGTGCAGGCTGGTGTTTAACTGTCGGTCTTCTTCACTTGTTGGCAGCTATCAATTGTAACACAAGCAACACAATAATTATTAGGCAGTCACTGAGTTAAGGATAATCGCGCCCCTCGAGGGATGATAATTTTTCGATAAAATTGAGCGGCCACAAAATATTGAAAAATGCAGTAAAAATGTCGATTTTTGAGAGAGAAGTATCTATTTCTTTTTCTGCGTACTGCTGATCGTCCGTCCTCGATCCACTCGTTCCTCCTTCCCTTCTTCCTTAGCATGGAAGGGATATTGGTGGTCATCTGCTTCTAGAGATGAGAGTGAATTGTCATTGCATAATTATTTACAAAATGAAAATAAAACATTATCTTAAGAGTTTCCTGAACAGAAATCGTCTTCTGCTTTGAATGATTGAATAAGTTAGCCGAAAAAACGGCGAAAAAGTTATTATTGATTTGAATTGTTTCTTGGCTCCTAGGAGTAATAATTGTAAGTGATTACTCACAAACAATATGTACCTGTATTGCTCATCTTGTTCATCTTATTAAGTGCACCAAGTGTTCATGTTCATTTTATCTTCAACCTCCATTTGAAGTTTGCAATAATTGGTTAGAAGGGCCTGTCTGACAAATTTTGATACAGGTCCCATTCAGGGCAAGCTTCGCCACTAATTTAAATTATAAAATGTGAAAACAAAACGGATTGTTAAATATTCGATATAACTGGAGAAGAAACAGTGGACTGTAGGTGGATTTATGCACACCCGAGTGCACACCCGTGCACACCGCTTTTTCATAAATCTGTTGCTTTCATTAACTGTCATCAAAGTTTTTTTTTCTCATTTAAGGACTATGATACCTTCATGCACCACCTTTTTCAAGTTTCAAACTCTTCTCCCTGATTGAAACATAGTCCTCAGCGTACTTAGCCCGATGAAAATATTTATGTTATAACATTCAGTGACTACATAATTATTACAATATGATAATCATTCATACATTTTGTTCCAGGCGTCTAATTGGAACATTCGACTAGAATTTTCAGAATTTTCAACCACATTTAGGAAAGAGCAGAGGAAGAAGTTGTTTGTCTGACTTATAACAGAATCGCGCCTGCGCAAGTCACAGTTTTATTTGTATTTGTCGTCAAGAGATAAATGTTGGTCATCTTTTAGTAAATAGTTGATGGAAGATGAAATTCAATTCAGGTGCATAAGTGAATGAACGGGAATACCAAGTTTTAACTTATCAGTGAAATCGTTAATGAAATTACAGCTTGATGAAAGAGCGGTGTGCATATATCCGCCTTGTATTTTGAATATGTACTCAATTGAAGACCGCGGAGTTGGGAAATGACGAGCACTCAGATTTCACCTTTATCCAGAGCTTATCGTAATCTTCTTCCTTCTGGTCGGCCGGCTAAGATCGAAGTGTTGTTATCTTGATGTTCGTATCTATAGGTTCCCCAGAACTGTGTCCACAGTCTTCACAAGGGAGAAAAAGTCACGAACCTCGCGAAATTTTATATAGGTTCGATATAGATACCTGAGGTATGATGAATATCGTTATTACCGAGGTTATTACTGGGCATGATAAAAATACACTGAATCCAGTTTTTGTTGTTCTCGTCTTCAATTCTTCGTCGTGAAGGTCAGTGCCGAAATAAGCATTATTTGAATAGTTGCAAGATTGTATAAAAAGTGAAGTATTTGGCTATCTCGCGAAAAATAATTTGTATATTGAAAATGTATTAGCTTATCAAAACCTTTATGACCTACACAACATGAGAAACCTTATAGGAACGTGGCGCAAATATGGGAACAACGCTGTTGGTATTATTTCTGTTAATCCGAAAATTTATTTCATACTGCAGACATGTCTAAAAATTTTGTTGATATTTGATTTCATGATCGAACTGGTAGTATCTACCTCCTGAGGGTTATAAATTCTGATGGGTCAGCTGGTAAGTAACAAAACATATATTGAAATTGATTACGTTCATCTTATCAATTGATGAATGATGCGACAGTAAACATGTTGTAACATCAAAAATAACAATGAATGATTGGCAATATATAAAACCAAGAATGAAATATTTGCATCGCATCTGGAAAATGTCACTGTTACCTATACTCATGATGAATCATCATGATAATTCTACTTCCAAGTATAATACCTCGAATAAAACATAACTATTACAATATCTTAACAATAATACATGCACTTGAGAAAATCAACCTGTCCCTGGGAAAAATTCGCTTATAGGTGGTCTAGGTATACCTGATGGGTAAATACTTATCACCTTCCTTTCTATCTATTTCTACCAACCTACCTAATATTATATCATATTTTATATATTATATTCCTCGTTTCACTAATTTCTTTATAAGATAATATATAAGATAAAGAATCATCATCGTTTATACCTAACTCAGTCGACCGCGATTGTTATTTACATGGAAATGGAAATTTAATATACAATGAAGATGATAGTAATAGCCACCCATTACCACCACATGATAAATTTGACTCATCCAGCATAAAGGTGTGAATATTAATGTCTATATCGAATTGATTCCTCATGAAATTCATTATTTGATAAGAATCGAGAAATAAAATCGAGGAGATAAATCTCTGAACTACATCTCATCTAAAAACACGATATCTTGACAGCTGATTCTAACCCACCTTGCCAATGGACCACTCCTTTTCGCTCTCTGTCCCAATATCTTCTCCACCACGGCCGTATTGCCCTTTCTAGCAGCCTCCAACAATTCCTGGTCTTTACCCATGTCCCTTGAATATGCCTTTTATTCATTTGTAAGTCATAATTTCACGAAACACTACTTCACACACACCCGTACTACGAATTCATTGATCGTAAGCGGCCATCTTTCAGTTACTGCGCCTCTAACGCAGCGTTGCCGCCTCAACCAGAGCAAAATTCTCATGAAATGAGAGAATCTTTCTTCGAAAAAGAAATTATGAAAAACTCCATGATTGAACGATAATGTCATTCACCCAAATCTAAAATATACAGAATATATACTGGTTCTCCTCAATTGTTCATCTTGAAAGTAGGAAAGACAATATTTGTTTATGAAATACATTCACAGCACTCACTGTTCTAGGAAAATACATTCTTCTAGGGTATATTATGCTCAAAATGAATAATTTATTTTCGAATTTTCGATCCTCCCCAACATTGTTTCTAATGATTGGACCACAATCACTTGATTGATTGAAATATTGAATAATTCATAATAATTAGCTAACTATTCAGACGCCCTGAAACAATGCAGCCCCTTCACCGAATGTTTCCCCAGAAAAATCAACTGTGAACTATAACTATCTCTTTCCAGATCGGTTTGTGAGTATGTATCTTTCTCTTCATCATACAGTTCGTCCCATTCGATGTATGTGTTTCATCACATCACTCAACTATCAATTCTAGACTTCAATCCCATGCACTCCTTCCTTTCATGTCGAAATGTTCAACGAGTCAAGTAATATTGTACGAGGCGGCAACACTGGTCGAGCAGACACTTCATGAGCTACTACGTCACGAGTCGAGGAAGCCGATCACTTGTTTTGTTGTGAAGTTCGTTTCTCAGCTGTTTTCAGTCATCTTAACAGTGGGTTGATGATGATATGAAATATGACATTAATTCAGATGAAGGAAATGTACTGTTAATGATATGTTAGCATTAATTCATGATGGATAACAGATCAGTAGTGATGAAATTGATAGTGTGTATTGTTCTCCTCAGTTGCGGTGAGTATGTTTCCAACATAACGTATAGAAACTAACACAGCCTCCTAGACCTGCTCACTAAATTCATAATTGATTAATAAAGTGCATCAGATTATTCATACCTGAAAGCACGATGTAGCCTGAGAGAATGTCATTATTATTTATTTGAATGTATCTAAACTATATTCACATATCGGTACGATACCTCACCTAACCTCACTTTATTTGTTCACAGTTTGGTGTGATGGCATCGATATTGATTTGTCCCGGTTCCACCCAGGCCCGGAAAATCATAGCGTCTTTAGAAAATACTATACTATCACGGAGGATTCCACTAAAATAAACATAACAAATATCAACGATGATGTCGGCATGTTCATCATACAAGTGCACACTTTTGTGGAAAATGTCACATTATCCACTAATCTGGAACTGACCCTCCACTCTTATGTGACTGGCACAAATGTAGGATTACTTTGGGGATCAGACGAAAGTAGTTCAATGTTTTATGTATTGAGGAATATTGCAGTGCAAAAGGAAGTGAGAATACTGTTGGTTGTAACACTGTATGACGAATATGGTAGGTATGTTTCTTGATATGAAAAATTTCAATCGACATCTTTCTGACAGAAAAATATGAAGGAAGTCTTTTGTAGCTTATTTAAGAAACAGAATTTTCATCAGATCAAATGATAATTGAATAAAAATAGAATGGGATAGTTGGTGAGGCAAGCACCTGTCACAATAATGAAACTAAATGAGAGCAGAACATTAAAAGAAATTGTAGAAGAAAATAAAACAATGTGACCACACACTCGTTAAACAACTCTCGAGAACAACAGGATATTATTGTAGAAAAGAATCGAGAGGGAATAGAAACAAATTGAGGTAGCGTACCTACCCCAATCTCCATACCTGAGATGCATAGTCCTGTTCCCTCCAAAAAAGATCAGAATCAGGGAGAATAACCATGGGGAAGAGATACTTTCACTTGGACAAATTATATTCAGGCTATGGTTAACCCCTAAAAATCAGTAATAAGGAATTTCATAAGTGATTGCTTAGAAAGAGAACGCTCAAACTGCCGTTGAAACCCTTATATTTATATTCATCCCGTACTATATAATATAATATCATTTTGGCAGCCATCCGTTCCACAGTTCACAGTAGTAGGCATGTCTACTATTTACTTGTAAAATATTAGTGATGAATCTCAACAGATCGATTCATTTAGTGGATTCTTAACGTCTACTGTCAATTCAACTTCGCCTAATCGATTTTGTTTTTTATTGCAGACCCCGTACCAGGAGGATGTAACTTGAGTTTTGACACACCTGTTGCTCCATACCAAGTAATAACATATAATGATGAATATTTATCAGTAAATAGTCAAGCCCCTTCGGCATACGGGGTGAGCTGTGATGAAGACAGGGTAGAAGTGGCTATGTTTCATTTATACCTACCTGAATATGACAATAACAATGAAACTTATTTTCATGGGATTGAAAAAATGTTGACGGTGAAGAATATTTTGAAGTATGGTACTCAAGTCTCTGTTCCGGAGAATTACTTCAAGTATCGTAGGCTGTACAGCTCTTATAAAGGGACGGGGGAGGTATTCGCAATTGTTGCGACGTATAATAACAAAAGTGCAGCTTATGTGCCAGCGGTGTCATATGGGTGTGATTTACTAAATTGGCAACAAAGTTGCATGGGACCAGGTGAGTGATTTTAATTATTTCCAAAGTGAATTTAGAAAATGTTTAATTCAGATACGCAAATTGTCATCCACTCACGATTCAAGATAACGTTAACAGTTCAGCAAGTCCACTCGAGTCCACTTCATCGATGACAAAATCTCTGATAGAGTGATTCGTACTCGAAAGTAAAGACTGAACTAATATATTTGTTTCCCATGTCTATATAAATATGTGCTATTGACAACCTTTCTTCACCTAATCAGAGTATTTTCTTTTTCTTTACGCAATTTGTTTATCGATTTCTCGTGAATCACCTACTTTTTTCGATTCAATTCAGATTAAAAGCAAAGTAATTCATCAAAAAATGAATCTTATTTTATTGCCAAAAAGTTGTGCAAACAAAATTTGAAAATCTTAAATTGCTATAAATCTGATGTGGATGATGAAGTATTGATAATGAACTCGTGCTAATTCTTTAACTGCGGATCACTTTTCGTTTGCAGTTACTGACCATTGGAAACTCAGTATGGCAGTGCAAGTCATTTTTGGACTATTTGTTTGTTTTATGGGACACAAATTCTTCAGAATGACATTATACATGATAGGTTTCACGTTTGGAGTTTTGATAACCTATTTGACAATATCACTGGAAGAAAATTTCACTACAACTGGTTAGTATACTCTTCGAATTGGTATCTTATAAAGATAGTGTATACAGAATTTGGATATTATTCAACGAGCGCATGATTATGGCTATTATATACTATTACTCATTGATTTAAAAGTTGCATCTGAGTGGGTGAAAGCCGTTATGCTCGAGTAGAATTAATGATGTCATCGAACATCTATTGGTTGTCATTTCAGATTTGAATAAGCAACTTATGAGTTATTTTCATCATTTTCATTTCGAAAATAATAAACAATGCTGGATCTAATTATCGATTTTCATCAACTTGGAGAGAAGTCGTGCGAGCGCAACCTTATTAACTATCATGCCATTTCAGCATGTGGAATGAATCATAACATTACAGATTATTCGTTTAAGAACATAAGTCAAAACGTATAATCGGGGAATATTAATGATTAACGGCTGCCAATTGCCGACCAACAATGCATGTTCTGCAAATCTGAAAATGTGAAAATGTATAAATGTGAAAACATACAAGATACAGACATAATTGTTATTTATACACCAAGGTAGTAAAGAATATCAGTATTATCCAACGACCAAGTGATATCCCGAGGCTTCAGCCGATGGGAATAAAAGGTCTCGTGGTAATATTATTCTTCCCTATACCGAGGTTTATATAAAATTTTTTTCACCACTAGCAATACATTTCAATCATTTTAGTTCTGTGAAACTGAAATATGAACCTATTGTCACTATGAAAGCTCATTTGGGAAAACTAGATTGTCAATTCACTCCCAGGGGAGGACACAAATATTAACTCCCGTGGGACTATAATAATTTAATAATTTGTCTTCGAAATATTTTCTATCACAACTGCACTCTTCTTCAAAAACATATCGTCTGAATTCACATTCTTTCGATATTAACCGATTGGTTTGGAGTTAATACCACTACGAAACCACTGGAGTCATACTGCCATTTTCTGCCCTTTCAATAATTTTTCTTCCGAACATTTCGAATCACAACTGCCCTAGTTTTGGGAATTATATGATCTAAACTCACATTATTCCAATAAAATTTGTTGATGTTGCATACCTTCGAGAATTACAAATAGAACTTTCCATGAATTCCAGGTACTGAATACATATTTGAACCTTGTAAAACATTCAAGTGCGCTCAAACCTCAATTTTTTTTTTTTCATCACTTGAAGCGCACGAAAGGGAATCCCTATAATGTTCAAAGAACATCGTGCGTTCCTAGGGAGGATAGGGATAGGAGGTAGGTATTTGATTTTTTTTTTGAACTTCTGGAGATTATATGTTGTTGGGAATACTTCCACAGGCAATGAATTCCAGAGCCTAGCCGTTCTATGGATGAAGGAGTTTTGATAAAGTGATATTGATATACCATTCGAGAGTTCTCAAGTAGGTATTAGGCATGGACGACGTCCATGGTATTAGGTAACAATTTGAGCATAACTTATTTGGGACAGAAGTTGTGAAAAGGCTGTGCTATCTTGAGGTTGAGCCATTCATTTTCCAACCGTGGGTCGGTCTTGAAAAAATTGTTAATAAATATTATTAATATTTATTTTCCTTTGATTGCGCCAAATTAGCTGTGTCTGTTTCGAATACTTAAACATTCATTTACTTCGCAATATTTGTTGTTCGTTTTCCATTCATTTTAGTGATTGAGTTTTTGTCCAATACCTCATAAAAAATATGGGATATTATTGTGAATGAAGAAGTACGTCGAAATATAGTATTTAAATGTCGATTATGAAAAAACATGTGAAAAATCCAATCCTCAAGGGTGCATTTTGGTAGTTCGCCTCATCAAGCGCTATAGAGCCTAGTTCCGGCTCTGATGTATGCACCAAGGCAGTAAAGAATATCATTATCACCCAGAAACCTATAGAATACCAAGACTGTAGCCGAACGGTATTAGGTCCCGTGGTAAATCTCCATCTCCAATATCCTTTTCTTGAATTGACCATCGCACTTTTTCAATATTGGCGAGATTTCAGCTACTGACAATGTTGCCAGATGTACTCTGATTATGAAAATCTTTGAAGTTCTCTGCCTAGGAGAGTTTTCCCAAGAAAGTATCACCTTCAAAGGTTGAAAAAATTCCTTCCTATATATAAATACGCAACATGTTCCATGAACATGATAGAAATCCCCTCTCATTCGCTTCAAAAATGCATAATATTTAATTTTAAATATCAAGGTATTCATTTTCACATAGCTAAGGCAGTACCGAGGATAATACTTACTCAAAGATGGCGCAATAGCGCAATAGCTGAAACGTACGACCAGTAACCAGACCATAGGAAGGTCGCTACATCGAATCCCCGGTTGAGCAGGGATTTTTTATTCATAAAACGAGTTATGAATTCCAATTTTCTATAGGCTCGGTTGAGAATCGTTCCGCACGATTCACTGTTGCATTCCATTCCAATTGACAATGCTGCTCCTAAGGTGGCATATGGAGTCACTAACAAAGCCTATACATAAAACACACATGGCTGAAACACCGCTGGTGAGGTCAATGGCTAATTGGTTTGTACACATACACCAACATGGTACATATCTCCCACCTACTCAAATTCAAATCAATAAATTTTCATCTTTCACGAATTTTCATCGTTCATGAATTTCCATCGTTCATGAATTTCTTCAAGTTCTTCCTCTGAGTCTCGAATTCCAGCATATACATAATTTTATATGATTTTCAAGTATTATAAGTGAAGATCATCATGCTTTCCAACTCCGAAAGCCAGCAAGACGGCACGTGAAGACAGGTGAATGTCTCATATGCATTCGGAGATTATTGCTGCCTTTCGGCTGTTTGTCCTGGAGTTCAAAATGATATGATATTATGAGACATTACAATAAAAATAGTCAACTGAAAACAAGCGGATAACCTAATCTGAATTTCTAATCCTATATACCCTATGGAGTTCGTTCCAGCCAGTTTCAAGAATTTAGTAGAGACAATTTGAAATAGCATTTTTTCATGAATACAGAATAACAGATCCAGTTTTTTTAATTGGAATTGAAGTAAAAAAACCTATATCCCGAATATTATGAAAAATTATCTACATCGAAACTGGATCACTTTGTAGGGGGTTATGTTTGAAAAGAAGGATTATTGCGGATAATAAGCATTACAATAACATAGGTGTCTTTTGTATGACACCCAATGCTTTCTTATATCTGATAATCCTTAATATTTCTTGATATTTGCAGAAAGAGCAGTGACCTCGTTCATAATAGGTTTCATGTATGGAATTGTCTGGATGTTCTTCTGGTGGAAATTTGGAATACCATTGCTCTCTGTTCATTTAGCGTTTTTATTAACAGGATTTCTGATCGCATCCATAGTGTTCTATGCAGGCTTAGGTAAGAGATGGATTTAAAATAATAGTATTATTACATACCGTGGTGATAAAAATGTTTTCATCTATGTCGAGATTTCCTTCATATGCAACGCGGTTATAGTATAGTATATATAGTACCTACAAGTAGGTACCAAGAACTGTAAGGACGGGTTGCATACACACTCTTCCATACGACGGCACCAGCGTGCTGAAAACTGTGAGCCTGGGCTACATAGGCTCACAGATTTAGGCACACAAGTCTAAAGAACATTTTCGACCAAGATCTTCGCTCACGGCCGATCCTTTTCAGAAAGTGTATTTTTCGAAAAAAAAAAATTATATGAAAGCGGACCTTTGCGGGCATTGAACTCGGGTCGCCGAAAGAATAAAAAACTTCTTCTTACAGTTGTGACAACTATTCAAAGTTGAACAGCAGCCAAGCTTTGGTCGATTTTTGTTGATTCTTGATGGAAATGTATGTGGTGTTGGCAAAGTGCCGTGAGAAAAAATATTTCTCACAGTATAAGCAATACATGGTTTTGAAACTAAGTTAGCTATGAGAAATGCGCTACTTTTCATAGCAATAGTAGAAAAAAGAAATTTGTCAAATCCACCTTGTGTTAAAAAAACACAATACTTTTAATTTTTCAAAAATAAATCAGAATATGGAAATGGCCAATTGAGTGTCCCAACCCAACCTGGCATAGAGTTCTTCAATAATGAAAAATCGCCTTCTTCACTAAAGTTCCTATTACACTATTATTACCACCATACATGAATTACAATCGGATTTTTATCATTCCTGATGACATAATCTATTACATTTTCAGCTGATATACCTGTTTTTACCAATGGAATGAATTTTTGGGCAACGTTCGTTAGCATAATGTTGGTCAGCCTCATTTTGCTGATTCCTTTCACAATGTACGGTCATATTTTCGCCTGCAGCTTCCTCGGATCGTATGCTTGCATTACTGCTCTGAATTATTATGTTGGTGGAAATTTACAATACATCATCATAAATACATATCGAAGAGTAGCTGTGAAAAACTTCAATTATGCTGTGATTGACCCACCATTTCAAATGATTGGTAAGCTATTCATGAGCCTAATCAGTCACCAAAAACAGAAAAATGTCTGGATTCTTCAGATATCCAGAATAATTTTCATTGATAGGATCATCATTACATACAGAGTGAGCCATGAGAAACTGTACATACGTACTCTTACCACGTTTAAATGGTCCTTTTCTGCAACCGACACAAAAGTCGTCCATTTTGATACCAAAATTAGCTCTTTTGACGTTTCTATCACTGACACGAAAATAGGTATGTTGCTAGGCAACATATTCAGTTCCTAGGAGCTGAAGTTGAACTTTAGTTCCTAGGAGCTAAAGTTGAACTTTAGCTCCTAGGAACTAAAAAGGATGTACTGGGCTTCATCAAGAATAAAAAACATTGTGACGGTTGGTTATTTGGGTTGAGATGCATACCTGATTTGTTCCCGATTTCGGCAGATCTGGCATTCCATACCCATGCTGGAGATATAAATAAACCTTATTATATTGTAGTATAGTCAGTTGAGTATTTTTGTTTTGATCTGGGATGCCTTCAAGATTCAAATACTTGCTTGATCTGTATTTCATTCGTAATTCTCTGTATATGGATAACTAGTTTTTGAATAATCACGGTGAGCAATAGTTTTTTTTGTCTCAAACAACAATATTGTTTAGCTTCATTTGATTATCAAGTCAAACACAGTGTAGTAACTGTAGTATGGAGAGGAATAAATAATCGCTAATATTATTGTTGATATGCTCACTTACCTAACATTTTCCACGTCTTGTTACAATAGCTGGCACTGGCGCGGTATTTGCCATTAGAGCACCTGGTCCATACACAAATATGTCACTCTGTAATTGTATTTATATTGAAACTACAATTCGAACATCCTTGAAAATTGAATGAACCTGCTGTTGATGCAGGTAGAATGTTCCTACTACACGGAATATTTGTCAATATTTGTTGTATTGCATACATATGGCACGGCATTGGTGGTAACTTCACATATTTATTTGAGTTAATTGTTTCGGTTGCAGAAAAAATGGCATGTTTCATTCGGATCAAAAGTGACTTTGTTCGAATCGTAAATTTTGCTTTCGCTCGGCTTTCGCTCGGCTTCGCTAAACGCTCCGCCTCGCAAATGCAAAATTCGCTTGTCAAACAAAGTGTCACTTTTGATCCTAATAAAACAATCTACTATAGTATATGGGGGAATCTGAAATGATCGTATACATGGAACAACTTTCCGTTATGAAACTTGATGGATGTGAAATATTTCATGACCGCTCTTGTTCAATGAAAGAATGAGAATAGTTGCCATTGGAAAGTTATAGGTAGCCAAACTCATTAATTATTGTATATGTGATCTAAGAACAAAATAAGTCTTTTACAAATGATTTATACAGGGCTTTCATTTCGAAACTTACCACCCCGCATATCTTCTGATCTGCGAAGATTACAATTTTCGGAAAAAACAGGTCGATTTAGATATCGAGGGAGAAGTGAAATAACAGTATCAATTATTGATTGCTATGTTCTTTCTCCTTCACCCCCAAACACCCCTACTTTGGAATCTCAAATGGCACCCCCTACTTTGAGATACATGAATTTGAAGGTCTATAAATGATCGAATCAACCAGGTGAAAAAATATTTAATTCGTATACAGGGTGAGTCATGAGGTACTGTACATATTCCTACCACGAACAGAGGCCCCTGAGGGGAATATCGAATGACCATCTGGAATTTCTCCTCCTCTTCTACAATAATCAACAGGGTGATTTATAGGATTGACCGAAAGATATTTTTGTCACAACTTTCCAACAGCTTTTTTGATTCATTTCATTTTTCCACTCAACATTATGCACTCCAACACCAATAGACTAACGCATACATAAATGAAATCCGTACTTGTGAAATGTTGCCAGTTATCAAAGAGTTCACTCTGTATATGGTTTCAGTGAACAATGATATATTTTCTGTCTATCAGAACAAAACGTTTCCCGATTGATTCGTCTGCATCCTGAAATGATTCTTCTTTTGAGTTCATCAATATCTTCTGATGGGTAAAGCATTGTTTCCAAGTGGCCACACAGAAAATAGTCAAGAGGTGTCAAATCTATAGATCTTGCTGGCTATTCTATGGCACCTCTTCTGCCGATCCACTGCCTAGGAAATTTTTGATTCAACCATTCTCCCACCTATAGAAAAAAACGTGGTGGAGTTCCATCCTGCTGAAAGAACAGGTTATTTTCGTCCAGTATCATATTTTCATGATCATCGATTTTCCTCTCTGAAGATTGTCTAATAAGGGGATCAATTGTATTGTCCAATAAATCCAGGTACGATTGTCCATTTGAATTGTCTTCAATGGAGAGAGGTCCAATTATCTCATTTCCTAGAATACCAGCCACACATTGATTTTCTCAGGAAACTGAGTATGGTCCTGTCTGAATATGTGTGGATTTTCATTGTCCCAGAATCTACAATTATGTTTATTAACAAAGCCGTTCTAATAAAACGTTGATTCATCACAGAAACCGATGTGCTTGAGAAAACTGGAACTCACCTGATTGGTTTGATTATTGATAGACCTTCAATTTTATATATCTCAAAGTAGAGGGTGCCATTTAAGATTCCAAAGTAGGGGTACCTGGGGGTGGAGAGGATTAACATATAGTTCAATTGATACTGGCATTTTACTTCCCTCTCGATATCTAAATCGACCTATTTTTTTTTTTTCGAAAACTGTTATTTTCGCAGATCAAAAGATATGCAGGGTGGTAAGTTTTGAAATGGAAGCCCTGTATATGTAAAGAATATGTACAGTTCATCGTTACTCACCCTGTAAAGGAACCATGAAAGTGAAACGATACAAAAGACGCTGCGTCTAAATTTTCGAAGCGGGATCAAAGTACTATCCCGACATACGTCAAGATGTAACGTCATCAACTATTTATGGGTTGTCTAAACTCAAAATCCATGTTTGTTATGTAACCGTTGTATGATTACGGCGAGTTATAAATCAACTATTATATTCATTCTTAGCCATTTCAAGACTGTCCGTGCTACCGATAATTTCGAAAGAATTTATCCAAATCGATATTTTGTGTCATTGGAGTAATAATTTGAAAATTCCTTAGACAATTTAATCAGAACATGAATTAGTTAGAGACGTAACATTATGACGTTGAAGTCGGGACACTATAGTCCTTCCTACAAAATATTATATTGAAAATCTACTCACCTTTTCAGATACACTCCACTCTCTCTTATGGATATTATTGCTCTTATTTGGAATTTTCATCCAAGTACGTGATCAAAGGGGTAAACCTCCATTTCCACCCAATCGAAATGAAGTTATAGATGCAGAAAGAATCACAGAAAGAACATCATTGATTCGTGCAGAAGTTCCACCTCCAGAATATACGTAGATTCTCGAACAATATATGAATTCGCATGAGAAAAAATGGTGCCTTTATAATTATATAATTACTAGTTATAGTGACTGTATCCTTGTGAATTCAATATTTTTTAATGTACTACTGATGTCTTATGTAGGGTAAGTTATTTTAAACGAAATTGATATTCTCAATCGAGATCTATGTAACTTCATCGAAATATATTGAACAAATTTTTATACTGATTGGGTGACGAGATCTTAATTGTTATCGACATAGGTAGCTGAATCGGGAATTTAATATGAGAACATGGAAACAGATGGGTAAATTGAATGTTTTCGATTCTTACGTAAAATAGAAACTCTTCTGAGGTTTTTAGCTATTCAAAATTTCATTTTTCATTAAACAAATTTATTCAGAAGTAATAAATTTCCATCTTCCGAGATTCATACCATCAAAATAAAACTCCTTTTTTTATAATCATCATGTTTGACCTGTTTCATTGGCAATCATTTTGTTTCATATGCAGGAATATGAAGTTTAACTTTTAATGGCGTGTGTCTGGCGGATGATATTGAGATTGTTGAGGTGATTCATATACGAATGAAAATCGATGAATGTTTACTAATATTGTTTTATTAATTCACGAACTTTTCTTTACACAACTTCACTACACAAATATTTCCTAATGCTACATACTGAACTGCAATGCATTCCGGTTAATAATTTTTTGTTTGTTTTAAATTAATCACAGCAACAAGAATTTACACAACATTTATCCATAATACTTTTAAATATCACTATACACTCTATACATAAAACAAGCGTTGAAACTTCATGAACAAAATAGTGTAGTTATAAATTATTATTGAATTAACACAGTTTTGGTATACACTTATATCATTATAGGTAGGTATTCACAAATATAAAGATAAATAAAGGACATAGATTTATTGCTATGAGAGCTTGAAAAAATCACTGAAAAAAAAGTTTGTGTGAAGAATACGGTCTAATATAATTTTGAAGATGTTTATTTTCAAGCTCCTAATAAATTATTGCAAGGATTCACCGAGAAGAAATTCTTTATATTACAAAAATTATTTACAAATAAATTATTCACATCAATCATTGCTTTTGCCGAGGAATTTTCTCAATACAAAATGAATTTATTTTATATACAGCTTTCCAAAACATTTATGTACATATTATTTTGTTGTAATTCTTCATCAAAATACTTATAAACAAAGTTTGGAAGTTTTTTCACAGTCGATGATTATTTTTTGTTTGTTCGAAACTTCGTGATCGACAAATATATATTGATATATATTATCACGATCTACTGTTGAGAATTAATTTTTCAAATTGATAACGGAAGAGTTATCGATGGATAAAAGATATTTTTCTATAAAATAAATCTCAGATACCTAACCCTTCAGGACTGTAGCAAAATTTCCAAATGACTATATTTTTCTCTAAAATACTCTACAAGATACACTTTGAACGCGTATCCTAATTACTACTATTTACATCATTTTAATTTCTTGCGGTTTATATACATTATTGACATCTTACCCTGCAGACCGCCATGCGAACTTACTCGCCAACAGTGTTGCCACACAATGAGAATAATCTATGGATGATTTTTCAATATATCCTGCAGTGAATTCATATTCTCGATACAAGATTGCCACGAACTTTTATTTGAACTCCTTCAAAAATAGCATTCGAAGGTTATATTATGATGGAAGCAGTTAGCTATCTTGATTCAAATCCAATGGGTACTGGGTTTTACCCATACTTGCTACAATAGGAAAATTTTATATAAATGGCCAAGAAATGATGCATTGTGGTAATGTGTTGATGGTGAGTATTTGAAACAAAAATCCATACCGAACTAGCATTACTCGAACAAGGTGTATTACAACTCAAGATATTTTCAATATCGTTGCCAGTTCTAGCAAGATTTAGTACTATACATAACTCTTGAAGGAATACCCCTGTATGAAATATTTCTCACAGAATACCAAATGATTTTAATTGATTTGCTGACATTTTTATTTACTGTTATATCTGAGTTGCATCATTTCAGGAAAGATACTTACATTCATATGTTTTCAATGTTGAATGATGAAAGGAAATTCAATACCGTACTACACACCTCTCCTAGTCGTATTTCAGATATAGTGTCAATTCGATTTGAGTAAGCGTCAATAATGCAGTCAATTGTATTTCAGAATAGTCAATTGACTTTTTGAAAGTCTCATTTGTATTTCAGATAATTTCGTTTGAAATTCAAATGACGGTTTCCAAAATTCAGTTGACCATTTTGAAATACAATTCACGCCTCCTGGAACTGGGGAACGATGCAAATATTATTTATGAAATGCATTGATAAAAAATCTTCTCAAGCCTGCTAATTTTGATATCAACAAATTCTGGTGAATTTGTTTTCCGAAAACAAATATTTCATCGTGGAAATGAATAACAAGAGAAATGAATTTACCAATTGACGATATTGAGATTGGGAAATGATATAGAACTACCGGGATGACACAACCACAGCTACTGTGAATTGCAGCGACGGTCAATATCGAATAACTTCTCCAAAACACCTGATAATAAAGGCAAAATAAATTGCAGCGAATGGTCTATTATTTTGGTATAAGTGTCGCTCATATATTTCATCTACCCAGATTTTCACGTACAAAATAGGTTCGTTTGTTTCAGGCCAAGGGCCAAGAAAATCGGTATTCCAGAGATGTGTTATCGAAGGAAACCATGCGTCTGCCGGCCAAGAGTGGTAGCAAAATGACGCTATAAAAATTGACCTAGAAGCGCCTCATTGTCACCAGAATATAATTATCACCGAAGTTATTGAAATTATGTAATCAATCAAGAACCTAAGTATCTGCCGCGTTTCGCATTTTCAAAGCAGACGGTATTAAAAACATCAGAAAAAGGCCGTCTATTTCCTCAAAAGGAACAACCTGAATGTATCTGCAGAAAATCAGTTCACTAAATAGAAAATTGTGAACCAAATATTGGCAGAAGTCCTACCGTAAGGATTACTCAGACTTGCCGAAATGTTTTCTGCTCTTTGACCTAAGGTTCGAACATGCCGATGATGCATGGACATGCGCGGTGGAGGTCGTGATCAAGGTTTACATCGATGACGAGCAGAACATACCGAAGAAGCCTTCCTTTTAGTGTTTTTTCAAGGTTTCTGAGGTGACTGACACGTGTTTTGGAAAAATTCGTTTTTTTGAATCATGAAGCTATGTATATATATTATAGAAGCAAGAGTGGTGACGACAGTTACGGTATGTCTTCAAGTGAAAGGTGATTTGTATAAACCAAAAAAGGAGTAACTAGGAGCACAACATCATCTATTTAAAAAATCTATTGAAAGATAGCCCTTGTCAGTGTTGATGTTGATGTTGTTTATGGCGTTTATCCCATAAAAGCAGAGCACAAAACAATAGATCGTTCTTCATTTTTGTGAATAAAATCACCGACAATTAAAAAATCGAACAATCCAAACATCTCGCAACCTGCTAACAATGAATGAATAATTAAATACCACCCGTATTGACAGGCGAGTATCACATGGTTTGAAAAAAACCAATGAAAGTAGCAATTTACTATGCGATGAACAGCTCGATCGCTATGCGAAAGTATTTTTTTCTGGCATCGACATCGCTGTAAACCGCGATGGCGGCAAGGGTATGTTCGGTCTCATAAGGCCGAATGTGTTTGTTTTGATGCTGCAATTACCGGGTTAACTTGCTAGATCCATTTATTTTGACCATCCGCTGCAATTTCTGCAGTAATTCATGTGTTCTCGTTATACAATACTACATCACTCTCCTGCTAAAGTACAAAGCAATAAATCAAAATACCCCAGGACTGTCGCTATGAACGAAGGATGAGGCCATTGAAAATGAAATTCACTATATCAATTTTCCATGAATCACTTGGTAGGATACTAAAAAAAAGTTGATGGTGGTCGGATTCAAACCTATACGTAAAGTGATTATTAGCGTTGGAAAATATTCACGTATTGGCAAGAACTTTCAAAATATTTTGCATACAGCGTGTCTCACTTTGGACGGCTCCTCCTCTATATCTCAGCTATTAATCGTACGATTCTTGCTAATTTTGGACTGGTATGAATAACTACCAATATGATAATTTTTCCTCAGACAAACATCATTTTGGGATGTGTCGTCATAATAGGCATTTTTTCTCGCGAGAACTAACTTCATAATATCATAATATTGTTCTTGATGGTTTTGAACCACCATTTGTGAATTTCGATGTGATTACTATTGAGGATTTCGAAAAATTATGATGGCTGAGTTTGGTCTGGAACTTTCACTCTGATCAACTTATAGCATGGCATCAGCCTACTGTGGTCATTGGTGTATTGATTTAGACTTCCAAGGATATTTTTCCGTCCTCTCGAGACGCGGAGGTCTTGTTAATAATTCTAAGTTTTTCTGCGAGCGAATACAAATGCGTCCATAATGTATCACGTGATAGTTAATGCCAAATTTGATAATGATCGAAGTTTGGGAACCTTAGAGTCTCTTGCAGCAGCGTTACCGAAGCTACTCCGATCGAAGCAGATCTACTCCCATCGTTATTTTTTACTCCGCTACTGAATGAAACAAAATTCAAGTCTGTTTGGATGTATGGATGATGCACAAGAAGTATCGAGTGCAGATAAATGGACGACTTCCTCTCATTTCAGTTTCGAAACAACACTCAATCTGTTACATTATTTCGACAACTAAAGATGAAGATCTTTGATCACTGGATCAACGTTACGACCCCTAACTGCGAGAAAACAACATGCAAAAGTTGATAAGAATCAACTGTGACAATTAACATCAGTTTATTGATGAGTAACATTAGGCTATTGATGAGCATACTAGTGCTTATTATTCTTGAATACAGTGTTAAATTTCAGAAGGAAATCACACCCGTGAGGGCAAGGTTGAAAGGTAGATTACTACTCCGCTGTAGTCTGAAAATGGTCTGAACTCAGAATCTACTCCACATTTAATCTGAAATCTACTATTTTCTGGCCTGCTGTGGCAACACTGTCGCGCACTGTCCATCCCGATCTTCGATCAAGGTTCTTCGATAACCGGCTACCTGTGCCGCGACAGTTACCTGCACTACGTCTTAGCAGGTTTCCCGCTCCGGTCCTCGTCGCGATTAGGACGCATCCTCCGCGCCGCCGCCAGGAGGCGCTAGGGTCGCGTGCAGCGTCGGGGTGTCCTGCGGCACGAGCAGGCTCGGCGGCGGGAACCCGAAGAGCTGCGATCACTGGAGGCGAGGCCAGTAGCTGGACGCCAGCTCGGCGGTGGACTGACTGGGGATCTGGACCGGCACCGATACGCCAGCTGATATCACGCCTGTAACGAAAAGAGAATTTTCCTACAACTGTCCAAAAAAACTGCACTTCTTCAATATATTTATAATCTAAAGTGTACTATTTTTCAATATCAAAATACTGTTCCATCATTTAACGGAAAAGTGTAAAAAAAGTACACCTTCTTTCCACGGTTGTTCCTAGGCGAGGGAATTAACGCTGGAACGGGCCCATACCGTTACCATCGAGATTATAAGCTCCGTGCTAACGTCACCTTAGTGAGGCCTAACCAGCGGCTCGAAACGACAAGCGCTTATGTCGCTATAAGGCGACCGCTATTTCAATTTCAGTTTTAGATCATTATTGAGCCGATTATGCTGTTTTTTCGAAGGGCTTCCGGTTAAAAGAGGATGCCACTCCTCAACTGAGCCCTTCTTCTCAACATGAAAAAACGAAGTTTCAAAGCAAAAACCAGAATAAAACACAAATACCTACCTACAGCAACCCATTTGAATAGAATATATTGGCAAAAACTTCAGTGATATAATCTCATTAGAGGTAAACTTCACACCTACTCATACAGGACCCGCAGAACATAAACTTATCCTGAGATTGATCGAAAGAAAATTGTGGAAAATGTACCTATTTTTATTTTGGAGAATTCCTTTCACCTAAAAAGTTAGCCAGTGAGTGATTTCAATTTCCTGTTGTTGGATTTTTCACCCAATTGATCGTTAGAAGTAGAGTGTTTGTAGTACATGTTAATATGATAGTTGCAATTTGATCATTGGAATGAATTCTGCATTCATTGCCACGGCAAATAACCGTTTTCAGAAAGAAATTCGAGAATGTATGTATTGAGTTAAAAATGCCAGTTTATTATGAACATTCAAGAATATTTCCTCGAATCCAGAGATGATTTTGTTGAATATAATATATGAATACAAAACTAACTGCACAATCAAAGCTTGCGGATAGAGTAATTTTCCTCTACTCATACTTTTTATGAGAGAGTAATTGTCTTTTATCATTAATTCATCATCATAAATTAAGTTCTGTTTACAAAATTCGCACTGAATTTTTGTAAGTGTAATAAAGCATCTGGATTGAAAGAATGATTTTCTTGGATTTCTTCGGTGAAATCAATATTTTCGTGGAAGCGCCTGATTTGTATATTACCGTAAGTAGGATATTTTAGCGTGAGCAGTGATTGAATTCTGAGCCTTTCTTCCGATTCATACAATTAATTATCGAATAGATATGTGATATTGTCCACCTGAAAGTTGACGATATTTCCCGAACCTATGTTCCAAATCATCTGTTTGAAATTTTCCTAGTAAAACATAATACATCTTGAGTTCGTTAAAACAATATTGTATAACTTCTGTCATTCCATATATAGTATTAATCAAAGCAGTTTGTGTTTGGTTTGTTAGTTTATTAGTAGAATTTGCAGATCTCCAAGTTCCTAACCAATCTATCATTTTATGCAAGAAAATGAATTTTTCATCGGAACCCAAATTTATAGCTGTGATAGGTTCTTGAAACACATCATTCAAACGTTTGCCCTTGAGGGGTGTTTTGACATTCACAATTTTCCCCCACTTGAGTATCAGGTTGATAAATCCAGCAGTGCCTTCAGAGTTCTCAATGTTTGATCCAAATTTCAAAAGAGCCTGTACTATGAAATCATTGAAAATTTTGAGAGCCAAAGCGACGTTTTGTCTTTCCATATTCGAGGGAAATAGCGCCTTCAGGTTCAACAAATATCCAAATTTTAATAATTTATTATGTTCTGGTTCGTAAAGAGTTTTTAAACTATGAAAAGAAGCAACTCTTTCCACCCCTGTTTCAAAATCGGGATAGTTCGAATTCTGATCTGGTTTTGTATTGAACCAATTACTCCTTATGCATTTCAACAAAAGTAATAATAGCATCTTTAGTAAAAAGTATACTCTACTGTACTTAGATGGAGTAAAATACTCGCGGTGAATTGCATATACCCACTTTTTCGATAGTTCCTCGTCCAACGGGAAACTAAAAGCATGAACTTTTGAACCACCCACATAATTCCCCTGACAAAAGGGAATACAACACTTGAAAGTTATTGTTATTTCGCCTATCACAACACAAAATATTTCACAAAACAGTAATTTTTCCGCCAATTATTTTGATGAATAAACAACAAAAGAATTCGGGACCGCTTCAAAATCACCGATGAATCAACACGAACTGACGCGTTAGTCGACAAGCGTTAACACACTGGCCTCTCTTAGGTGACGTCACGGGCTGTTTACGTCAGAGTCTGCTGGCCTTCTGATCTCGATGGTAACGCCCATACACTTCGTTGTAGGTAGGCTGTTTTGTTCGACGAACAAGTCTGTTCGAACGTAAAACCGAAGTGTATATTAATTGTGATACGTAATAATAATCCTTCAGCCTATACAAACACTTCCATTATATACCTGAAATCAATGAATTTGTGATTATCATCCCTCTGATGCGGAACATGGAATTATATATCTACTGTGTATAATTTTCTGACCTACTCATTTAGGGTTAGCTGACACTTGATATCCTTCCAGAAATTACCATTCATTGAATAATCACATTCGAGCAGTGTATAATTAGTGTACTATACAATCGTTAGATTTATTGATCTATTTAGATGGTGGCCAAGTCAAATACCATAATCTCACTGAACCAAGCGGCAATGAAGCAGTTAAAACAGACTCGCCTTATCCTGGGTACAGGTATACTTAGTCAATGAAATACGAGTAATAAGGACAAGGAGAACGAAGAAAACGTCCTATCATATAGCAAAATCAAAATCTCATGAACTTTAATGGGACTTGCTAGAGATTTCATCAAAAAACAGTCGACACGATTGAATCAATATCTACTAAGCTAGGAACGGCAAACAGTTATAGAATATATATATATAGAATAATATATTGTAAGTCCTCTCAAGATATTGATGAATAAAAGTTAAATCCTATGAAATTTCTGCCAGAAAGAGAAGGTAATATTAGTACAAATATTTAGTTACCGTCATAAATCGTCGAGACTATTCTGCAGACACAATCGATCAGAAAATGTCGCGGTGCAAAATGCTAAAATCACTGTGAAGTCCCAAACTCATCTAATCTAACTTCCACTTCTGTATCCCTGAGGACTTCATTTTTTAGACGGAACATATTTGGATAGGGAGTATGATTACGAATTCAACGATAACAATTTTGATGGAGGTATCACAAACGGAGACGAAAATACTCTTCAAGGTTCTTAATGAAATATTTCATGATGGGTATGTTTATTTCGACAGCACACCCGAATACCTAAACTTGTTCGTTCTTGAAGGTGATACTTCTTTGACACTACAGGTGCGATGTGTAGTGTACAGCCGTTCTGTCTCAATCAACATCTAACCCAACCATGCTAAATATACGAGCTCGCAAACGTCACGACAGCGTCATCAAGCATGCGTCACAGGAGCCATATTTTTCTCAGTTTTTTGAGGCTTTTTCAATGCAATTAGACGTAAAGACTCAGGCGTTACGTTTTTGTTACAATTTTCTGATGCTTTTGGACACTTCGACGCACTTTCGTGACGTGTTCGTGCATTAACGTGATGTTTTTTCAAACTGGTGTATTCAAAATAGGTAAGATAGTGATAAATTGAGGCAGAACTGTCATGAATGCACTACTGTGATGTGATAACTGGAAACTTCGATGTGTCCTGAGTAATTAGACCAGGCAATCTAGAAGGATTTATCCCGGAATTTAGCGCCCCCAAAAACTCCCCATTACCCATTTTCGAGGCGTTTTTCCGGATACGATGCGCTTTTAGATGCACTTTATGCACCCGCGATGCATTTCCGCCACCTCCCGACAATAAAAAACGCCGGGACTCCATTTCTACGGTCTTTCTGAAAATATTGCAAAAACCGCATTTATATCGGATAGATTGCTTGGTCTGAATGAATCTTGAAAATGAATAATAATGATAATGATGATTATAATAATAATGATAATAATAATAATACGTCTTTATTCATCATGTGCAGAACCACAATAAACAAAATAACAAAATAGAATAGGCGAAGTATCAGCATAAGGCTCTTTTTCAAACGAACCCGAAAGAAATGAACTGAAATGAGAAACAATGAATTCTTCGATAGATATTTTAGATGATGTAAACAATATCCAGAAAGTACTTTGGCAGGTCAGATGACCAAAAGAGAATCAAGATGACATGGCCAGATTTCATTGTGCAAGAACGTAATAAACTGTAGAAATAATAAGCTACTGTCTATTCTTGAAGTTATGAGAGTGTGAGATCTTAATTCCCTGGGCAGTGTATTATAACATCTACTTGCGTTATATGAAAAGCTTCGTTTGAACCTTGTGGGTTTTGTGTTTTGAAATGACAAGTGAAGATCTATTGCGACTTTGAGATTGATTATTGATATGTGAAAATGTTTTCAGTCGTTTGTAAAGGTATTCAGGTTTACCTGTGGTCAAGACTATGCACTTGAGTCAGCAAATGCAGATGTCTCAATTGTTCTAATCTCAACCAACCTGAAGCGACCATTTTACTGATAATGGTGTTCAAATTTCCGTATTCCATAAGAAAATCGCAAGCAGGAATGTTGAATACGTTGGAGGCGGTGGAAGTCCGTAGCTTATAATGCTGGACCATCGATACTCTCACAGTAAGATGACTTAGAGAAAATTAGAGACTCGCAAAGTTTGAGTTTGAGATCAGTGGAAAGAATATCTCCATTTTGATACAGCTGCCTTAAGACGTTAAATGACATAAATAACTCTGAATGACATACATAACTCTCATGTTTCTTGAATCTTACATCTGAGTACACCCAAAGCCCGGGGTTTTTTGCATTCATTCACGATAGGAAGAGTATAATCACCTACATTGATTCTCTGATCAGTTGCAGACTCTCTCTTGCTTTTTCAGAGCCAAAAAGTATCACCATAGGTTTCCTAGAGTTGAGCTACAGGTTGTGTGCACATGAAATGTCA